ATGAATTTACTTAATATACACATTAAATATAAATTTTCACGCATGATCAATTCAATACATGTATAATTTTGTACATAATTAATTTACAAACTAAATTTATGTATAAGAACCTTATACGTTTTGCCATAAAGTTATTAATAAGTTATTATAAATAATTATAATGGTCACGATATTGTATAATTTCTTCAGTAACCTCACATTACATCGTGTATTTGTAAGTATAGATTGCGCTGCACTGCATGATAACTTCACTTTACAAAAGTAACTAGTTATTTCAAATGAAAACTTACATTGTTATCATAATTCATTTGATTCTTGAAAAGTATAACTTTTTTTTGCTTTAAAAATAACTAAATGATCCAATTGTTGATCACATGTCAATTTTTATAACATTCCAATAGACTTTTATTTAGTTTTAAAGTACATGTAATAAGTGTACTGTATATGTTTTTATAAATAATAAATCACGTCAAGCACGTACAATGTAGAATCTCATAATTAAAATAAACTTAAATTTTGTAAAATAGTTTAAGAAATATAATTTGAAAAATGTCATTATATAAAGCTGTACAATTAGTTAACTCATTTTTTTGATAGTATAATTTAGTTACAATGATAGCTATTTAAATATTTATTTGTATTATAACAGGATTTTAATAAATATTTTTATTTGTGTATTTTCTAATGAAGTGTTTGTTTATTTAGACATCAATTAATTCGTTACAAATTAAAATGTTTGACAAAATATGGTTGACTTAATTATTATAATAAAAATATGTATGAACTTTGAGCTTGGTATTATTTTAGAATATTTATAGTAAAATTCTTACATCTTAACTAATATTACAAATACGACTGGATTTTTCAATTATAAATATTAATATAAAATAAATTTCAAAATAAAGTGAAATAGACTTTAGGAAACTAGATTAACTCAACACGAAAGTGACCATAAGTTTATTTTGTGTACTAAGAAAAAGGTGTATGGTATGATTTGAGTTAATTTTAATCTTACAAAAGTCAACTAAAGTGAGTTTTTTGCTATTTTATCTCTACTATAATAATTCAATGGGAACAATAAGTACTGTCATATATTTTCAATCACATTATGACATAGTTAATCAATTATAGACATTTATAAGGAGTGACCAGGTTGGTAAAATATAACGTTTTCATAGCTATCAAATATTAAAAATTAGAAAATTTTAGTCAATTTTGAACTGTATTCTAGAATAAATTAGCGTTAATAGCATCACAAATGATTAGAGTTATCAAATTGTCAATAAATAAACAAATTGCTAAAATAAACACCCGGACACCTAATGTACAGTACCTAAATGTACAGTACATGTCTGTAGATAATGGCCTGGTATACGTTTCAAACACTTTAATTTAGCTAAAATCATGTTTATATTGCATATACTATACATCAATATCTATCGACGAATCACATAATTATGGCTAATCTTTAGTTCAAAAAACACATAAAAGAAATGCAATACAAATAATTGAATAAATATAAAATCATATCGATTTTTATGCCAAAATCCATTGTAAACCGTTCAACAACTGAGTGAACATCAAACGTGCAAATTACTCAATTTGTACTAACCATACAAACGGTTACATTACAATTAAACTCTGTTCACTTTAAACGAGTAAAACCACGATGAAATATCTGTTAATATCTGCTATTGTGTTAATCTGTGGGGCAAATCTAGGCCAATCGGCCAAAATTATCCTGAACAAGGAGTACACAAACAGCACAAAAGCTGTGCTCACAGTTGACATTACCTATGATGATAACAAGGAAAAGTTTAACGGTTTAAACATCACCAAAGATTCACAAGTCTTCTACACCTATGATAAATGTAAGTGAATTCATAATACATTATATAAAAAATACCAGACGTTATAACCATTGGTTACAACTGATTGTCGTTAATAGTAATCACGAAAAACAACTTCTTATGGCTGTCTTTATGGCAATTATAAGTTGTGTTCAAATGATTGGAAACTTTTTACTTTATTTTTATGAACTCTATTTTCAATGATATTTGTAAAAACTAGGAATTTTTGTTCACTATATCGGCTATAGTCTACTAATCAGGCGATTAAATCAGACACTAATCATGTAATTAATTAGTTTATTCATAAATTGTGTGCTTAATCAGTTATATTATAAATTGCCCTTGTCTAAGTTTATGCCCATGTTCAGTGTTTATAAATTGTTTGCAAAAAACATTTACCAGACAGTGATTAGTGTATTGTCTGATACTATAAATGTTTATAAAATAAATTGTCGATTAACTACTAAAATATTAATTACATTCAATGCTAACAGTATTTCATAACTAATATTGACATTAATATTAGTGAACACTCTGTATAACACACTATCGTATAGTGACATACATCGAGAAATTCAATGATAATTTAAATCCTTATTTATATATTTCTTATAAAAAATAACAAAAAAAATTAATTCTCGTTTTTATTATTCAAATAACTATTAAGGACTTAAATAATAATTATTTTCCTTAACCAGAAATTGAATTATTATTTTTAATTTATATAATTTTTACTATTTTATACACTATCCGTATAATTATATTTAGGGCTTCTTATAGTGAACATTGTTTTATAATCAAAAATATGAGTTAATTAAGTATTTAACAATTTTTACGATTGATTTTAAATTAATACTTTTAATGAATTTACTTAATATACACATTAAATATAAATTTTCATCTTATAGTGAACATTGTTTTATAATCAAAAATATGAGTTAATTAAGTATTTAACAATTTTTACGATTGATTTTAAATTAATACTTTTAATGAATTTACTTAATATACACATTAAATATAAATTTTCACGCATGATCAATTCAATACATGTATAATTTTGTACATAATTAATTTACAAACTAAATTTATGTATAAGAACCTTATACGTTTTGCCATTAAGTTATTTATAAGTTATTATAAATAATTATAATGGTCACGATATTGTATAATTTTTTTTAATAACCTCACATTACATCGTGCATTTGTAAGTATAGATTGCGCTGCACTGCATGATACCTTCACTTTACAAAAGTAACTAGTTATTTCCAATTAAAACTTACATTGTTGATTCATTGATTTTTGAAAAGTATAACTTTTTTAATTTTAAAATAATTAAATGATCCGATTGTTTATTGATTACATGTCAATCTTTATAACATTACAATAGACTTTCAGTTAGTTTTAAAGTACATTAATAAGTGTACTGTATATGTTTTATAAATAATAAATCACGTCAAGCACATAGAATCTCATAATTAAAATAAACTTAAGGTTTGTAAAATAGTTTTAAAAATAAAATTTGAAAAATGTCATTTTATAAAGTTGTATAATTAGTTAAATTATTTTTGATCGTATAATTTAGTTACAATAATTACTATTTAAATATTTATTTGTATTATAACAGGATTTTAATAAATATTTTTATTTGTGTATTTTCTAATGAAGTGTTTGTTTGTTTGTTTAGATATCAATTAACTCTTTACAAATTGCAATGTTTGACGAAATATGATTGACTTAATTATAATTAAAATATAATATATGAACTTTGAGCTTGGAATAATTTAAAATATTTATAGTAAAATTCTTACATCTTAACTAATATTACAAATACGACTGGATTTTCCAATTAAAATATTAATAGAAAATAGATTTCAAAATAAAGTGAAATAGACTTTAGGAAACTAGAAAAGCTCAACACAAAAGTGACCACAAGTTTATTTTGTATACTAACAAATTTCATATTTTGTAAGAAAAAGGTATATCGTATGATTTGAATTAATTTTAATCTTATAAAGTCAACTAAAGTGAGTTTTTTGTTATTTTATCTCTACTATAATAATTCAATGGGAACAATAAGTACTGTCATATATTTTTCAATCACATTATGACATAGTTAATCAATTATAGACATTTATAAGGAGTGACCAGGTTGGTACAATATTGTATAACCAACGTTCTCATAGTTATCAAATATTTTAGTACTACTAACATTTTAGTTAATTTTGAAATGTATTCTAGAATAAATTAGCGTTAATAGCATCACAAATGATTAGATTTCTCAAATTGTCAATAAATCAACATATTTTTAAAATAAACACCCGGACACATAATGTACACATGCAGTACCTAAATGTACAGTACATGTCTGTAGATAATAGCCTGGTATACGTTTCAAACACTTTAATTCATATTTAAAATCATGTTTATATTGCATATACTATACATCAATAACTATCGACGAATCACGTAATTATGGCTAATCTTTAGTTCAAAAAACACATAAAAGAAATGCAATACAAATAATTGAATAAATATAAAATCATATCGATTTTTATACCCAAATCCATTGTAAACCGTTCAACAAGTGAGTGAACATCAAACGTGCAAATTATACTAACCATACAAACGGTTACATTACAATTAAACACAGTTCACTTCAAGCGAGTAAAACCACGATGAAATATCTGTTAATATCTGCTATTGTGTTAATCTGTGGGGCAAATCTAAGCCGATCGGCCAAAATTACCCTGACCAATGAGTACAAAAACAGCACACAAGCTGTGCTCACAGTTGACATTACCTATGATGATAACAAGGAAAAGTTTAACGGTTTAAACATCACCAAAGATTCACAAGTCTTCTACACCTATGATAAATGTAAGTGAATTCATAATACATTATAAATGCTAAATTCAAATCAATGCTAGTTAAATAACCAGTCGCTTAGTATCCTGTTGTTAAACATTTATTGTGCTTAATACTAAATTTAAACAATATTTTAAATCTAGCCTTGAAAATACAAAAATTTATTCCGGTGTATGGCGTGAATTCGGTGACTAATAATATTACAATTACCGATAGTGATTCCAAAACTATAGTAAAATTCACCTTGCCCAATTTGAGCACAGAGAGTTCGGGCACATATAATGCCACCTTATACTACCTTGATTCTGGTAAACCTAAGTCCCACACCAACCAAACTGTGATTACCGTGGCTGACAAAGAGATTAACGCAACTAAGGCAGGTCAGTGTCCATACGGTTTAGTTTTTGTATTTGTTTAATCAATCAAGTTTTACCATTTTAGAAAACGCAACGCTAACGGCCAGCCCGGACAAAGTGAGCAAGGGCAAAGATGTTAAACTAACATGCACATACGTTTTGGATGGAAAGAACGAAACATTCCGTAACCTAAGACTTTCGAAAGATAACAAACAAGTGTTTTACAGCACAGACTTTAGTAAGTGAACTGAACCAAAAAAAATTTGAACTAGCTAATCTCACATAAGGTGGGTGTTTATTGTTTACCATCATTGACATTGATCCAATTTAGAGATCTTATGGTCAAATGATTATGCAAGTTTATCAATTCAAACCCATCTAATCTATATATTGTTATTCTATTTTAAGGCAAAAAATAACCACCTACTATGAATATAGCTACTGTATTATTATATGACACAACTTGTATTATATAAGTTATTTAGCTAAACAACAATAACTAATGATGGTTATTTCTAAACACTTAGGTTCTTTTAGTCCGGTAAAAGGCGTGAAAGCAAATAACGGTACTTACGATCCAAAGGCCCGTAAAGTGGAGTATACGCTAAAGGATGTGACCGACGATACGGTCGGCAAATACCGGTGCGAAGTGGAGTACTATAACGGATCCGTCACTAACTATCATGTCTTCTCTGAAATTACTCTTAACTCCGGTTATCAACACTTGTTATCTTATTTGTTAGCCATTGTTTGCTTCGGTGTGTTAGCAATCAATCACTAAAAAAACGTTTAATCAATTGAGATATTGTGTGCCAATCAATACAATTGTGTGTGAATTCAAGAATGCGTTTACATTTTTCAGATAATAGTTATCAGTATTTTTGCTACAATTTATCGACAAATTATTTTCTTTGAAGTATTTGTTATAATTTTTTTGTTAATTTTGTGAACTATTGTTAAGTTCTTTAATCAAAAATAATTTATTAATATGCCAAATAAAATTAAAATCTTTTCTACCTTAATAAATTAATACTGCACAACAATTGTAATGATTTTAAATTAAATAAAAGTGTTATAAAATATATTTATATGCAATAATTTATTTTCCCTTTCTATACAATTGAATTGACAAAATAATGTAGAATAGTCTAAATAACATGGTTGATACAAACAACTGTATTTTTCTGTCACATTTCAAACAAACAATAAGACAATTATTTTATTAATTTGTATTATGGTATTAATAATGAAATCATTGTTAAATGACATCATTAAATAAATACAAGAATAAATTAGCAAATATTTTAACATTTAATAACTTATACTCCATTTTTAAATATTATTATATCATCAATATATTGATATATTTACTTTAAATCCTATTTATTTTATTTAAAACTATAGAAAATATATTTACATTAAATAACTTTATGAATTAAAAATAACAATAATTGTGACAAATAACACAAAAGTCACATTTTATTGTCTACATGTTTATTGTATTTTGCAAACAAAAAACCAAATGATATATTATTTAATTCATATTTAAACAATTGTCAACCAAAAACATTTAAAACATTTTTAGTACATAACTATTTCATTTAGATTGAGTGATAAGTTTAAAGTAAATAAAATGATAAATATTTAAATTGAAATTCAATTGCATATAAAATCCATTCGTTGTGTAATCTTATCCTTAATTACTATAAATATAAAGTAATAATTATTATGAAATATTCATTGGTTTGTGCTTTAAATATATTGTTCGCAATCAATGTCTGCGAATCAAACCATATCTCATTCACCAATAAGCCCTATGTCAATTCAACAAACACCCTGATCAATTGTACGGCACTATTGAATCCGTACGGCGAGTACTTTTACAACTTAAGTATAAGCAAAGACGGCAAACAGTTTTACAAATACGATATCAACAACAAAAAATGTAAGCAATTGTTAAATTAAATTAAACTATAACCAATTTTATAACCATCATCAAATGTAGTGCCAATATTTACGCCAATACCGGGCATTAATAAAATTGTAAACTTGGAGCCAGGTGCGTTCATCATTAACAATATAAACAGGACAACTGCTGGCCGTTATGTGTGCACTGTTCACTTCAACAATAACCTTAACAACTACTACAATACCCGTTCATTCACCCTGGGCATTCAGGTCCATAATGTAACATTTATCACCCAAACCAGTGGACCAGATCGTGAGCACCCGTACCCACGAGTCCATAAACAGCATTTACAAAGTGATGACATGCGAGCCATCCAAATGAGTCGCTCTCCCGGTTAAGACATTTTATTAAAACTCATATAAAATATTTTGAAAAATATATTTATATTTTTTAATAATGTATTGATTGAATGCAACAGAAAACGTAACGCTAATCATAACTCCCCTGAATGAATGCGATGAAGACGTTCACGTGGTTTGCAGCTATAATTTATCGCAAATTAACGATAGATTCATTGATATAAGTCTCTACAAAGACAACGTGCGATTTCTTAAGCAATACGATGCGGTTAGATGTAAGTTATATGACCTAGTACAGTATTTAGGTTCTTGGAGCTTAATATTTAGATTACTAGTAATGTTACAACCTAAGTTATAACTTATGTTTTTTATCATGGTCAGTTGAATTTAGACGATTGAAAGGCATCGATGCGATCGTAAACTATTACAACGAGAAGAGTTCGCCACAACTTTACGTTACGATTAAAGATCCGACAAAATATACGGCCGGACGGTATGCCTGTCGCGTGACTTTTGCCAATCAAACGCACACTTCACTCAAGTACACGGTATCGGCCGACGCTGTGCTCGGAGGGGCCGCCCATTTCATCATCTCTTACCATATTGTATGGCTTTCAATAGCTATTGTGTTATTTAAATAATATTCTTTCTTACCACAAGCGATTTTAATTTAAATAATTGAAGTGTTTTGATTTTATGTTTCTAACTGAGATTTAATTTTATGATGTCATAAACAAATATTGCTTTATTGTTATTTATTATTCAATTAATGCAACTATTATTTAAGTAATAAAGGGGTCATTTGTGTGGGTACAAACGCTGTGTGTTGAATCTCATAGTGAAATGTGCTTGATTATCAAAAACAAGTCTACAGTACATTACAGTATTTGTTTCTAGTGTAGGAACATTTATAACATTTTTAACAATTATTTATTGATTTATGAAATTAATAAATTCTATAAACTTAAGTGTCGTATAAACTTTAAACAATTTATTTAAACCATTTAACCATTTCTTCATATACAGTATAAATTCAATAAAACTATTTGCGTTATATTACAATATATTAGACAATAAACAATAAACACTGCATTCAATCCGTTATAAAAAAACAAAGTGTGTATAGAATATTATATTTTATTTATTTTGACATTCATTGAATATGATAAAATTTGCTATTCTTTACATAACATCTGTATTATATTTATGTAAACATTTATTGCATTCATGTAATATTCGGCTCTAATTATCAACACTTTAGTTAACAGATATATAATATATTTATGTTATTTTACTGAATTTGTTTTATGAATTGCGGATCAAAGATTAAAACATATCAAATTATATTTTCACCCTCATTATAGACCCCAACGCCCCTCACAAACATCTCTCTCTCTCTCTCTCTCTCTCTCTCTCTCTTTGCAAACAAAAACCTAATCCAATGTATACTTGTCTTTACAAACAATTTTCAATTCAAAATATTTTACGTTAAAAACATTTATAAAAACAATTTTCTCATACATAACAGTAAAGTACTGTAAGACTGTTTATGACTTGAGATATAAATATTTTAATTAAAGTATTTTACAAATGGATAGTAGATATCATATTTGTTTTTTCGTTATAATCTTTTACGCCATAAAGTCTTGCGAATCAATTGAAGTGATTTTCAGACATCATGTCTATGAGAATGATCTGAAGAAAACACTATTCAATTGTACCGTTAGGTTGAGGACAGACCGACAGGAAGTGGTTCACAATCTGACCGTCAGGAAAGACAATCACCTGTTTTACGCTTTGGACCAAAATCATGGTTTGTATTCATTATTTAATCATTGTTTTGATAATAAATATTATTTTAATGTTAGATTATTACATGTGAATGAGATATAAAATAATAAATATTTATTTTAAAATGGTTTACTAGAAATAAAGTAATCAAGGCCATTATATTAACTAACATATTTATTTATTAATTGTTTTAAACAGGTTTGAAAGTACAGTATGTTTTATATTTTTGGTAAACATTCAATTTCCTCTCTCTCTCTCTCTCTCTCTCTCTCTCTCTCTC